AAAACCCAAAAAACCCCACAACAGCCAAAAACTCCTCCGCCCCTGCTCTTTTCGTGACACGCCTGTGTGGACACAACCAGCCTGCCTACAGGCATGCCCGGGCATTGAGAAGAGCCTCGTGGAAACGGGGCAGATCCCCCACAAACGAGCACTTGTGAGCTCACAGATCAGCGAGTTTCCAGAACAAATCGCTGAAACGATTTGCCTGACTCTGAGCTCAATACAAGCTGTAAAGGTAATGTGGGTGTATTTGTTTCCAGTTTATGAACCCAGAACATGCTCTACTTTGGAGAATGTGCTTATGAAGGTATCACCAGCTGGGGACCTCTCACCCCAACAGGGTGGAAGTGGCTTGGAAACCTTAGGGGGTTTTCACATTAGCTGCTTTGCGCTTGCGGATCTTAACATATAAATAAAAACCGAAATGCAGAGAGCCCCGAACGGTGCAGTGAAGGCGACGGGGACCCGGTGACGGGGACCCAGAGGGACAAAGCCGGCGTTTACTCTACTCTTGTCAACACAGGTGCCTGTTTCACATTTGCCTCAGAATCTGGTCGGCATTTTGCAGTCCTCCTGCTCCAGGAGCCGACGGGGCCTGGAGGGAGCTCCAAGTGGCCTCAAAATCTTAAGGTTTGGGGTTGGGGACAGTGGAATCACTCGGGAGTGTGAGGGTGCAGGTGGCCGGGTGAAAGCTCCCTCTCCCCTCCGGCCCCACCCCTGCGGCCCCGGGCTCTGTGGTGTCCTTCCAGTGGGGAGGACCCCTGCTCCCTTCCCTCTCTGAGGCCAGCAGGGGTGGAGGACGCTGGGAGGAGCCCCAGGGCCAGAGCTCCGGATCCGGGGTCTCGGATCTGACCCGGCCCCGTCTCGTCCAGTCCATGCTCTTGTTTCTGCTACGTTCAGGAGCGGCCCAGAGTCTCCCACCAGCTACCCTGCCCTTTACATGGCACTCTCTCTGATTTGGGAGGGGGCCGCTGTCCCGGGCACTCGGGCTCACAGGTGCCGAGGGACCTGGAGGTGCGGGCGGCAGAGGCTGGCACGCACTCGTGGGGGCAGGAACGGCCGCTGGACCGCGGAGAAAGCCACCCCCAGAGAAACACGCCGACACGCGACACGGCAGCCGTGTGAAGCTCACTCACGTCTTTGAGCGTGATGATGTTCGGATGCTGTCCGTATCTCAGGAGAATCTCGATCTCTTCCGAGGGGTCTCTTTTACTCTTATCGATGATCTGGAATAAGCAGAGCACCTGACGTGAGGCTCCCGTGCAGCGTGTGCTGCCTCGGACCCTTTCTGCCTTCCCTTCGCCTCCAGCTCACGCCCACAGGACACCTTACAGTCGCCTGGATGCTCGTGGCAATCCTCCCTGCCGACGAGCACCAGGGCGACACTTACAAAACACAGGCACGAGCCTCAGACACGAATGCTAAGCTACTGCAGGGGGGGTGGAGAGGGGTGGGCTGGGAGCTCACTCAGGCACCACATAACGGAAGGTGCTTCTCCACTAGATGGCGGGCTCCGGGTGGGTGGCCTGTGCTCGACGCTCCTCCAAAATGAGCCCCCGGCTGCCGCCGGGCGTCTCTTAGCCTTACTCTGCGGCTACGCGCTGGCAACAAAGTGTGGCCAAGTGCATGCCTCTCCCCAGGGGGCACGGGGCTGGCGTGCACACTGAATCGGCCGCTGTGGCTCAGACACGCAAACGTCCCCCACCTCTGCAACCCAGCACCGGTAGCCCACGCTGCGGGCTAGCAGATAAAATCCTTCCACCCGTGAAAACAGATGGCCTCCGACGACAGGACGAGGTGTTATGAGTAGTGCCCCTATTTTTTTTATTTGAGAGAGAGAGAGAGAGAGAGAGAGAGAGA